AAATACCCAAAAAGAAGTTTGTAAAAAAATGAATCCGCCTCAACAATATAGCACTTATCTACACATACCGGTGCATCCGCACTCCTATCTTCATACACAGAACTTCGTCCAGTGCCTCCAAGGTCCTTCATTGGGAAAGCGGTGACTCTCCGTTCCGAAGACCTTTCGGCAATGCAGTTCATCAGCTGCAAACGAAAAAAACTCCTAAACCCAAACATCCACAAAACAGTTCTCCTGTTCCTACCGAAAGCACCAAGTGGGTGACCACGTGAACGACCACGTAAGCCACCAAGATGTAGTCGAAAAATTCGGGCAGTTCGGCTTTGGTGAGCTTCACAGCAAAAAACAGCGTGATAACTGAAAGGAGAACAGCACGGTTAAGTTCCACCTCTGATTTCCTCCTCAAAATACCCACTGGCGATGATATGAGCGGCATTTCCGACACTCCAGTGCAGCCAGTTGAAGATGGCCCTCTTAGGAGTACCAGGATGCGGCCGGAAGTAGGCACCGATGGGCTGGATGAAGCAAAGAAGGGTCGTCAGCGTGCCTAAAATCGCATGCGGGTTCCGTTCGCCAGACCAGGCTTTCAGCTCGACGAAGATCAGCACAAAGGCTGCAATGGTGAGCGCCCAAGTGAGCACCATGAAGGTTCTGTGCCACTGAAATTGACCAGAAAATTTCAGCGATTTCTGCAAATTTCAACCCGTAGGGAAACATACAGCAAACCAGATATCCTTGCCCATAATCTGCTTCCCCACCCAGGTTTGTCTGTAGTATCTAGCCAATAGGATGCCGATGGAGGCGGTGCCCAACCAGGCGGCTAACATGAAAGCCCCATGCAGTCTGATGAGGAGTTTCGATTTGGCAGCCAGCGACGAAACGTCGGCTAGTGCTTGGGGCTGCGCACTGGCCAGGTAGGTTTGGTCGTGAAACGACACTGCGTTGGCTGGAACAGAGCATTTGAACTTTGCCCAAGAAGTTCCCACATAAAAGGAGCGACACTCACGTGTAACACTGGAGCCTGAAGCTATGAGCAAGTTGTATTTGCGTCCGATCAAGTCAAACGGTTTTCCATTGATGATGGTCAGAGCGTCTCTTCGCACCCTACAGTAGATCACGCCATTGACGATGCTGGAGTTGAGCAGCTGGATGCCCAGGAGCGACTGAATAAGCCAACATGTTTAGGGGATAAGAGTTACTCAGACTATGAAGGCTTTCACGGTCGGTCAAATCGCATATAGAAATGATTTTCATGGGAATTTCTTCCAGACGTTTCGTCCACAACTGCGCTGGACATTATCAAAGGCGATGAGGCAGTGGGCGAAGTGATCTCCCGTGCTTTCCGACTAAGACTGGTTCAACT